CGATCATGCAGGTGGCTATTGAGCGTAGCGCCAACCTTGGAGAGAGCATCAGAAATGAAGAATGGCTGCAGACTTTGAAATTGTACACAGAGTTAAGTGATTTTGTGAACCGCTTTGAGAGCACTGCATGCATACGCCTGAAAGAGTGGCTGACGGGCGTGAGGTATTACTGGAGCACCACGCTTCTAAACGTGGTCAGTGGCAAAATAGAACATAACATCCTCAAGACGGCGCTCTCTCTTTCAGATGCGCCGTCTCGCCAGGCGATCTTCGGAAAGACAAATGAATCGCAGCTACTTTGTCGGCTTGTGCTCCTGGTGGCTGGCGAAGAGGCTCTTGCTGAGATAGTCGCGCGGCCGTTCCGCAAGAGATTTTTACTGTACTTCTGTGGCGGTGAGGCTGGTTCCGATGCCAAGCCTGAATGGTACTTCAAAGTTTCGCTGTATTGGCGTTCTGCCGGCGTACAGTGGCTCAGCGACGTGTCGTGTGTGGGGAGCAAGCAGTTGACGAGGTTGCTGGCCGCGTTCAGCAAAAACATGATCGAAATTGTGCAGCAAAAGTTGAAGACCGACTTGGATGAAACATTGCGAAACAATGACGTCATCAAGCTCTCGCAGCTGATCGACGATGCAGTTTCGTTCGATACCCGACTTCAAGGTAGAATATCATTAATGACATGGCTTATTGTTGTTTGAGCATGGTTACCAATACGAATTGCGTTTCAAGCGTGTGAAATGCGAAACAGCAAAATTCAGAAACCCTTGAAACGGCTTGAACTGTACATAAAATGAAATTCTAAAAATCTACGCATTCTTAAGTTAGGAAACTTATTCCCATAGTTCCTCATGAGTGACCAGTATTGAAGTGATCCATGTTTCCAATTCAATAAAAATATAAGAATGTAGACTAAGCAAGCGTTTTATGTGCATAACTAATTTTTCATCGACTGTGCACCGATGATCATCAGAATAAAAGGAGAATCAGGCAGACTTAAATGCAGATCGAAACATGTCTCGACATTTTGAAACAGCAGACAAGGATGTAATGATTGGACGAGTTTGGAGTCTGTTAACAGAGTCCTTCACAGGAACTCATATTTGGTACGTGTGTAGTATCATGTAAGGAGCAGCAGTTCCTGAACATCGTTCTTCATGAGTGCGTTTCTTTCCAGTGTTGTTCTTACAAATGAATAGGATGCGAAATGCGTAAGTGGTTTTAAACAGATAAACGCCTGTAGGCAGTAGGTTAAGGTCGATTAAACTAACTACTCTAAGTGCAATACGACTACGTCATAGTAATTGACGAAAATCGTTATGGAAATCCACTGCAGAATGAAAATCTAATAGAAATCACCCTTGCTTTCCTGTTCTGATTTCGGCATTGCGCGTAGAAGGGGAGGTTATTGATATCGGTTTCCGTCTGTATGTAATCGGTAACATCTAACATCTGGCTGTTACGTCTTTCCCAGAACCGATTTCAGTCAGCTAGCAGGCTGTTTCGAAAACGTTTGATGCACTGGTATTGCTTTGGTTTGTAGTGGTCAACCCCCCGGACAATCAGTGTCAAGTTTTGTCAACAGTAACGGTTGGTTGATGACATCAGTAGTAATTTGGTGCGCAATTACGGCTGTGCTTTATCCAGAACTGATCGCTCTTGTCAAACGAGATAGGAAAACCGGGTTTCTGGTATGGATTCCTTTATACTTTTGTTCCATATATGAAACGTTTCCATTTACGACCAGCGAACGACCGATGCGTATGCATGTTTTCAACCTCTATATCTGTTTTCTTGCTATTATTCGTGATCTCGAGTTTTCTCGACCTGCTTGACTTCAGACTGTCAATAATCAGTTACCCAACAGAGTCTGATAATGATTGCGGGGATTTTCTATCCCGCATGTGTGCGATACCTTTCTTTTGCTGGGATTCAGGAATTTAGTGTCTTTTCTTACTAGAGCCGCTGACCAGTTGTTCTTGAACAACTATGTTATGTTTCTTTTTACAGAAGATTACTTTTCATTCCTCAGATTACTGCGTAAATCATGTGATACCGTAAGTTGGTCATGCTTGATCACTGCGTCGCCTAAGCATGAATGACGGGAGATTCTAAGCAATTTAGTCTAGCGAGACCATAGCCAAACTGCAGAATGCTTCTACTTCTGTCTGGTAGACCTTCATGTTTAAGACGACTAGAAGGACAATGTTTTCCCATTTTCCAGCTGCAGTGCATTGGAAAATGCGAAGGCACGGATCTCAGCATAAATAAATTAACTCTGATCTCAGTTAGTAAGTCGCAGAGTTTCGATTGGATTATAGTGTAAAATGTCAATGAACAGACAAGGAAAGTCGCGCGAACTACGACGTCAACGATACCAAAACTTTTTCTAAAATCGGTTTCAGTTTGATTGAGCAAGACAAGCCTTATTAGAAGTGAAAGGCATAAGTGGTCCTTTTAGACTTTAAGAGTTAGAGATGTGACATACAGGTCTATTATCGAAAGTAGCACTTAAATTTTTTCATAATCAAGAAAATCTGTGAAACGTTTACTATACTGTTGTAAATCTGTTCGAAACTTTAATTGCAAATACACTGGAGAGAGATGTGATTACTTTTTAAACGGAATTTCAGAATTATAAGTGACAAGTGATCCATTAATGCAGAGGAAGACGACCGTCAGAAAGAAAGGCACTTTTAGTCCTCCCCGAATTACCCGTGGTAAAACTGACATTTGTGAGGAAGACATGTCAAAAACCGCTGAAATAACGGGTATCTCAAAGAGAAGGTAACTGAGTTTATGCCCTTCAGATTTTGTGGCTTATCCGTCTGTCTTTGCATCGCATCAACATCTTTCATGACCGATTCATTTGTTTTTTCATCGGTGCTCTCCTACCTAGTAGAAAAACGACACGTGAGTGATCATTATCAGTCAGTTTCGATGACCGCTTATCCTTTCGCGTGGAGAAGGAAGACATATCGGACACCGTCTCCGATCTTCCCGATGCTGTGCTAGTGTTTGAGCTTCGGCAAAAGATAGCCAAAGTCTGGAATAGAGTCCTTCCATACACTTGTCCCAGGTTATTTTTACCCTTCCCCGGGGTCTTGGGCAGTGAGTAGTTGTTTTGCCTTCCTTTTTGGATGCATTCGATAGACGTGCCCAAACAATCGCATCTGTGATTTCTCAGTCTGAAGAAGCAGTGACTGTACGCCAAAGCACTCTACGTCACTCTGCTCTACTCTACTGAAACTCGCGAGTCCAACGATTCTTCTGAGAAAGCTCGTTTCAGCCGCTTCTGCCGGTGATCCAAGTTTTTCAGTCATAGTGAACGACGCGTGACTGTAGGTGGACATGGGGAT